ATTAATCTCTGGTGTTATAGGTAAAGGAGATTTCAAAAGAAGAGCTTGAAGCTCGAAACGATTTGGTTTATGCACTGAAAGATAGGATTGAAGCAATATCAGATGGATCAACAGCTGCAACTAAGCAAAGTACTGGTGGTTGTGCAACTTCGAGTTCCTACACTGGAATTAAAATTGATTCATCTTCAGGTGATAACAATTTATTTATTAGATCATATTAGTTTCAAGATATCTGTCTATGATCAATTGTTTTGAATGTTCGGTAATTGGATTAATCAGATGGAAAATTTGAGAGCGAGTACTTTCAACAAACCGAAGAGTCTGACCGGTTCAGGCAAGAATACGAAATGCGCAGACTGAAGCAGGTAGTAATTCCTTCTCTTTGTCGTTGTTTGCCTTATTGTTGCTACGAGATTTTCAGCTTTGCTTTGCTTGCTTGCTATTAGATTAACATTTATAACTCTAATGGCGGTAATATATCGGATTTGGAGGATTATAGTAATTCATCTTCCTTTCTACCTGAATTTTAATGATTATATTTGAGAGCAATACACTATTTTTAATGTAGGATCAAGGTTTGGAGGTTATAGCTGAAGGTTTGGACACGTTGAAGAACATGGCTCACGATATGAACGAGGTTAGTTTTGTCGGATATTTTCCTTTTCGTTTTGGTCTAAATCATGTTAAACTGTGAGATCTTATGCTAGATGTTTTAGTTATTTGTGTCCTAAATTTTCCATTTCTTTCTTATGACAGGAATTGGACAGACAAATGCCACTAATGGATGAAATAGATGACAAGGTGATTTTCTACTTTTAAGTTATCCTTCTTCAGTTGCCATGGACATCGGCAACTTTTCTGTTAGTTTGATAATAGCATTCTAGAAAATATTAAATTCGTATATGAAGCCTTTTAATGGTTAACCATTAAAATATCCGAAGATTATTAACTAGCTATTGATGTTTAGTCTTTTGTGAGATAAAAAGGTAAGTTTGGATCGTTATCCTTTTCATCTGAAAGTTTCGGCAGATTAGAATTCCAATTTCGACACTATTTTTTGATATCTTCCAGGTAGATAGGGCAGCCTCGGATCTGAAAAGCACGAATGTGAGACTTAAGGATACTGTACACAAGGTAATTCTATTGCAATATATCTTTTGATTTTGGATGGAAGCTGCTTTCTGTATCTTAATGCATATTTTGATTTTGTTCAGCTGAGATCAAGTCGCAACTTCTGCATTGATATCATCCTATTATGTATAATTCTCGGGACTGCTGCCTATTTATGCAAGTAAGTTCTCTGTATTTTCTTGAATTATACAGTATGAAACATTTAGTATTTGAGTTTTCCTTTTCTATGTTCCAAAAAGTATTCAGGCGTCGCCTAAAGCATGTAGGGAATCGAAATATCATTGTTTAAATTGTTTGCTAATACATTAGCGCCATTGCTTCTCATGTGCCCCTTACTAAGCTCAACCAAAATCTTTCAAACCATTCTTCAACTTCACCTGAAAGATTTATTTCTCCAAAGTGCTCATGTCTAACAAATCCGAGCATCTAGACATGGGTGCGGAGGTATGATTCGGATATTTTTTAAAAGAAATTCGAGGATATCCATATCCGACAGTTACTTTCGAGTTAGACTGTTAAGAGTCCCATAAATTATTACTATTACCATAAATTTTGTGATTCGCTATTCTCTGCTGCAGTGTGTTGAAATGAGAAATTCTTCTGCATAACGATAAGGATTACGCTTCTTCCATTATGGCGTACGAGTTTGTATGGATTTTAAATAAACTCTCGACTTTACACCGGCGTGATATAATCTCTGACTTGATAATTGTTGTACGTATTTTTGTGTGTATTTATACGTCATGTTGTAGTTATGTACTCCACTTTCTGGAATTATATACTCTAGTAGTGACAAAAGTATGTGGTACAGAGCAACGGAGTCCATTGTTGCTGCATGTGAAGTATTAGAAGTCTTCGTATTATATCTAAAAATTTATTTTACTTTTTTCATTATAAAAAAGAATAGTTTAGTCTTATATTGTACTTAAAGTTCATTTTAGTCTTTCTGTTGTAAAAAATGGATATTTTAATCTCTATAAGTTTTCAACATTTAATATTTTGATCTAAAACGTTAGAATTATTGTTAATAGGCTTAAATATTTTGGTTTAAATCTTCTTTAGGTCCTTTCAATTTTGAACATGAACGAATTAAATTATTTTTGTGAACTTCTACATAATTTTTTTTATAAATATTTTTAAAATGTAAATGAAAATTAATTCATATTTTAACTTTAAATTTTATTGTCTTCACTTAGAATAGTTTTCATTACAATAATATTATAATTATAAGTCAAAAGTATAAAGAATATTTAAAATATTTAATTAAGAAATCATACACTAAATATTCTTAGAGCAAGAGTTTAAATAAAAGAATACGATTTAAAAATTATATAATAATTTTTTGTTTTTATTAAAAAATATCCTATCACAATTATTCGACGAGAAAAACGATATATCTTGAATATAACGTGATCGGATGATTGAAATAATAGATAAAATATAAATAAATACAAAGTTTTAAGTGAGATTGTAATGTTCTTTGAAGTTTTGTTTTTTGGCGAAATATAATGTTAAAAAGGAAATAGGACGGTAAGAGGATGTTCTTGGTGTATGGTTTGATCATCAAAAGTCATTAAAATGCGATATTAGTATAAGAAAATGGAAATTACGATACTATACTCGTGAATTTTGGTCTTTTCAATTAAGCGGATACCAAAATTGTGTTTATAATGTATTTGATGAAAAATTTATAAACTCATCGATCGCCGTTAACAATTGTCGACAGTCATATGGATCCAAATTTGCGATAGTCATAATCTAAACAAATAGATAAAAAATGAGATGATAAAAAAGAAGAAGAAAAAAAGAAGAGAAGGAAAATGTAAAAAAGAAAAATTGGGTTTGTATAGATCTAAAACGATGTCAGTTATGTTATAATATTGTTAATTATTTGACAACATAACGAGCAAAATATGAATAATTCAAATTAAGTGATTAAATTTAAAAAAATTAAACTTTAATCCCTAATTAAATAAAAAATTACAATATTATATCTTTTTACAAAGTGCAGTAAATATCATTATAAGGGTGTTATTGTCTTTTTATACTGTTATAAATCTTTTAAAATATATTAAAACTAATTAATTGAGATTCAAACTATGACCAATTTTTATATATACAAATATTTATCATCCCACCTAAAAGCATTGCAAAAATATTTTATTCAACAAATCAAATGTTTAAAACTATACCTTTAAACGCAAACCTTTGATAATTTTATTAAAAAATAAATTATTTAAAAGATCAAACATTTTATGACAAAATGAATATTATTTATGTGTATACGTGTTTAGCTAAAAAAACTAGTTTTGATAAAGTAATTTATTGAATTGAAATCTTGATTTCCATTCTTTGGGTAAATTTCCCCAAGGTAATTATATTATTAGCTTGATTCTATTTTGATCATTGAACTAAAAATTGTAAATTAGATCATTAAACTTTCAATTTGATTTTTATCAAGTCACCGACCATTAACTGTTAATGGAAATATTGACATGACAATTAAGTAAATTTATATAATAATACATTTGATCCTTATTACTTATATGTTCTATTAAATTGGTCAAAATTAGGGTAATAACACATTTGATCATTATTATTTACACATTCTATCAATTTGTTTCTAATTTTAACTATAAATAAATTAATAAATATAATTCTCCAACAAGATGGTGGTCAAATTGATAGAATGTATAAGTAATGAGGAATAAACAATTAACATATAAATTTATTTTTCATGTCATTAATTTCGCCAACAATTAACAGTAGGTAGCTTGATTAGAATCAAATTAAAAGTTTAGTGATCTAATTGATAAAATATTTAGTCTAATGGTAAAAATAGAATTAAACCAATAGTTTAGTGACCTTGGAGGAGTTTACCCTAAATATTTTCCCTTATTAAAAAAATGTTAGGATTAGTATAATTAATTTGTCGATATGTTGTAGCTTGACACGTAGGATAATCGGATGGGATCAAAATATACTGATATTTATAGTTTTCATATATTATAACCTAACCTACCGCTAAATAAATTTATGCCATGCGGTATCCATTCCCATCTTCTGCTTGTAAGAGTTTAGCCTCTTCAATCGTATCCCTCCAATCTAAGTCCGGACCCACCAAAGTACATTCATCAAATCCATATTTTTTGTGGGCCACATGTGTTCGCCACTCTCCTCTCCCTCTCACATCCCCTTGCAGCGGGTAAGATTCACTCTGTTCCTTCCTCCTCTCTTTAAAAACTAATCTCAATTGACCATAATACCCCCTAAAACATTTAAATTATTCTGGGTAATAATCATCTAATGAATGAACTCTAATTTAGAAAAAGAAAGCATTTTTACAAAAATTGAGAAAAATATTATTGAATAAATGGGAACATTGCAGATACCCCACCGGAAAACAACGTGGAATCAAGTGTACACGATCATTAACGTCCAATATATTAGAATAAAAAAAACTTTGGACAACTATCGTGACGTGTAACAGCGGCAGCTTTTTTTCCTCTCGATGCCATTTTCGAAAAATAAATAAAAAACCTAAGGAGAAAATGAGAAAAAAAGAAAAACAAATAGAAACATATGATGATATGAAGGGCCGAGAAAGCAAAAGAAAGATGAGAAAACCCTGATCATCAAGTTCTGTGAGATATGCAAAGCATTACCAAACCAAATCCCCAACCCCTCTCCCGTGGGACACAAACAAAGAAAAGGCATAAATATAAACACCCTTTTGGGTCTAAATATTTTTTCATTTCCCTTCTCTTGCCTTTCACTTCTTTTTTTATCCTTCCCATCTCCCTCCAATTTGCTTACTTTCTTCTCTTTCGTGTTTATGTGGTGATTTTTTTAATCAATATCGATAAAGTATGAGGATTCGAAAGAACGCGAAGCTGTCTTCGCTGATCAACTTGACGAGGGCCAAGAGTGTGCACGTATGCGAGCTGAACCAGTCGCCATGGGATGTGATTCCTTCCACTCAAGAACCATACCCATCGTATCTTCATCACCGGGTACACACAAACTCTTTGCTTATCTCTCTCTTTCATTTCTCTTCTTTGCTGTTTCAGAATAAATTGGTTCGTCCCTCATGGCAGATCTAGTTGCTCCTTGTTTCCTTCTTTACCCTTCGCCTCCATTTTATGTTTCGTCTGACATTTTCATATGCGTATGCCCGTCATATCTCTTTTAGGGTTTTGATAAACCCTAAATTCTCTCTCCTATCGTGTATTTAGGTTAATGGTTGTTCGTCATTTCTGCGTATTATAATTCTGGTTCGAGTTTTTAGTTGGTTGCTAGCTTCGTTTACTGCTTTGTTTTTTTTATATAAAAACCCCCAGTTTGAACCTGAAGATATCTTTAATGGAAATGGGAGCTTAGGCGATTCTATTGGCGCTGTCGAGAGGTAATCCTCTTCATATTTCTTCGATCTGATTGCTTTTATTGAATTTGCTGTCGTGATATTCTATTAGGGTTTTTATTATTCGTCCTCTATAGTCGAATAATTATCCACAAATTTCATGATGAGCTGGCGAGTTATTGAAAACCCATATTGTTTATTGTTTACCCAACGGGTGTTGAAATATGTCATGGTTTGTTACTCGAAATACGCAGCGTAGCGTCGATGATGGACAATGAAGATAAATCGATTATGAAAGTCGAACGCATGATTATCGACGACGAGGAAGAGACGAAAATAGGTGACCAATTCGGGTTCCACACCCATTGCGAAGATGAAGGAAAGGGATCCAAGCAAAATTGTTCACTGAAATCTTGCTGCCACGATAATGGGAATAATCCAAGCTCATTGACAAGCAAGAAAGCCGGGAACCGCCGTGGACGAGCCGGGGCGGCCAATAAAGGGCAGTCGTCGACGTCGAATCCGTATGAATTATACTATTATTTCGGGTCCGGGCCGTCGTGGAGGAGGAGAGGCGGCAACAACAGCGAAATGAGGGAGAATATTATTGTCGAGGGTAAAGATTTTGAAAACAACAGCAGCGCTGTCACCACTCAAAACAACAATACGATGCCGTCGTCGTCTTCTTCGCAATTCGACAATAATGAAGAATTTGATTATGTCGGTGATGAGGAGGATGACGAGGAGAACGTGGATGGTGGCGGCAAGAAACGAACGAGAAAACCTATTAAAAGAGAACGTTAAAGTCCCTAATGTGAAGAATTTGATAATTTTAAGTATTTTTTGTTTTTTTTTTTACTTCTAGGGTTTTAGATTATCAAGTAACTTAATTTCGAGGGTTTGTTTAGTCGGGGGTATTGTTTTTTATGATGTTGGGTTTTGTTGCGGGTGAGACTAGAATTTGCTCTGCCAACTTGCAGTAGAGGAGATATTTTACGGTGTGACTCTCGCGGACCAAAACGAGGTTATGTTAGTCAATGTCTCAAAACCTAAGGCGGTTTTTGTAATTTCTTTGGTTTCATTTTTCAACTGCACACTCCAACACGGCAGCACCTCTCAATCCATCTCTTGCCGACAAGCAATTTACCGGGAATCTACTGATATGAATACGTAATATATGAATTGATAGAGCATAGGAACTAGGCTAACTCATCATTGTTATGGAATGAGATAATCATTAATAAACGAACAATGCATCAAATGATAGATATTTCGGATGTGTATTGATGATAGTTATGGGAAGGTATAATGCAGTTGAACTCAAATTAGGAGCATTGTTTCAATATTGACAAGTATTAAGTGAAGTAAAAGCGGTGGTTTCCATTTCGACTCATTTGTGGAATCGTGGAATCATGGAATCACCCATGGTGTGCATGGGTGATAATTGCAGAAAATTGGAGCTGCTTCCTTCTTACCGATCAATTTCCTGCTACTGCTATGGAAAATTGGTCCACCATCCAGTGTCAAAGATGATAGGGTCATAATCGAATCCATAGACCATTCTGCGAGGATTTGTATTTTGTAATGTGTAAGAGCACTTAGATAAACAGGAGCATCCGTAATTCAACTAATAGAATAATCTTCTTGTATATAATTAATAGGAGACTGAAATCTCCTGGCCATTCTTCATACAAATCGGGAAAGATGGAGCAATCAAAACTTGGTTTCCAGTTAGGAGGATACATCACTTTCAGACACATGGAATCGTGGAAATCCTACAACAGGGAGTTCCATGGTTCTGACAAGAGTAGTTCAAAGTATCAGCATAAACCATTTACCACTATTGTGTATTCAGTCTTAAAAATGGAGCACAATCGCACGAGGTGTTTTTACCCAAGGCAAGGATGTTCATCATCTAAGACTGTGGATGGATCCGGGAAATTTTCAAATGCAAGCACAAGTGGTGTTGTTTTGCATCTGCTATCTTCACATGAAAGTTGTGAGGATGAGGAGAGAAAAGAGCCTATGATTAGTTTTCTTTTCCCTTTCATTTTACAAGCCCCAAAAAACTCTTTTCAACGGGCCCGGGGTTGTCCGACGCCGCTCAGCTCCCTCCCTTGTAGCTTTGGAGGCTGCTGAGAATGGGCCTGTTCGTTGGGGATTTCATCCTTAGACGCCGCTCAGCTCCCTCCCTTGTTGTGTCTCTTTCGTTTTGTTTGGGTGGAGCCCTTCGTCGACCGCTGTGGTACGGGGGAAGGATCTCTCCCCCACCCGATGTGCTGGGTTTTGTGCTTTGGAGGTCTCAGTTCCCCTCGGCTCTTTAGACAACCACGTTGCTCATCAGGACCCTATGGAAACTTAATGCGGGTAATTTATTAGAAATATTGGATGAAGCAACTCGCAAGTAAGTGAAATCAACGCTTCACGTATATCTAACTCCAACAATAAAAAGCTGAATTTATGCACGTAGTATCGGCCCAAACTTAAAACTTATTGAACCTGTTACTTCCCACCTCAAATAGCAAATACAAATCCACTTTCACTGACAGAGTCAAAAAATTGAAATATTTAAACCTTTATGAAATTCAAGTATAAATATTTTTTAGAAATATTTACATTATTTTTAAAAAAAAAAATTATCAATCAATTAATTAATTGAAATAAAAGTGAAGCCCCTGATGTTGATTTTTCACATCCCAGAGCAACAACCTTTTTGATGTCACTGTTTTTTAGTGGGAACAGGGCAACTTGGGGATTTAAAGCTGAGGGACAGAACCCAAGTTCAATATGAAAGAAAAACAAAATCAACCTTTAAATGCACCAACCAATGTTTCTGCAATTCATATACTTATCTCTTAACGAACCGAACGTTCAGGTTCGTGAGTTGTTCGACGAAAAATCTGTTTATATTCGTTTATTTATTAAACAAACGAATATGAATAAGATTTTGTGTTCGTTTAATTAAATGAACGAACACGAACAGAGGATTCGTTCATTCATTTATGTTCGTGAACGTTCGGTAATATGTTCATTTATGTTCGTTCGTTTATGTGTATTCATTTATGTTTAATCAAATCTCTCTAGACTCATTTAAAATATTAAAGCTTAATAAATTTTAATCTGATACTCATAAATATTTTAAAATTCAAATTAATTTTAAATATAAATAAAAAACCTCAAAACAATTAAATAAAATATAATCCTAAAATTGTTAAGAAAGAAAAAAAAATCTATATTCATTTATGTTAGTATATATTCATTTGTATTCATTTATTGTGTTCGTTTACATTCGTTCTTTTGTGTTCCTTTAAGTTTGTTTATTGTGTTCGTTTACATTAATTCGTTTATGTTCTTTCATTTGTGTTCGTTTATTATTTAAATGAACGAATATGAACGAACACGAACAAACTACATTCATTAACGAACGAACACAAACAATAAATTTTTTATTTGTTTATGTTTGTGTTCGTTCATTATTCGATTAAAGTTAAATGAACGAACATGAACATATCATTCTTCCTGTTCATTTACGGGCATATACTTGTTCAAAAATGCCCCCATAAAATTGTAATGTAAACATATACAATTTCCACTCATTTCATAAAGGAAAGCAAATTTACAACCCCGGAACCGAAATGTACTCACTCTGTAGATCGCCGACCCCGGAAACAGCCCAGAGCCGGATAGTGTTCTAAAGAGCGGACAAGTTTTCTGATCATGGTACATCCAACAGTCCAAACAAGCCCGATGGAAAATGTGTTGACAGCTCCTCAACCACCTGATCTCTTCACCTCCTTCGAACTCATACAAGCAAACGGCGCAACTCTCCGGCGGGTCCCCCACCACGAATAGCTCGTCGAACTTTATAACGGGGAGGATTTCCCGGATCAGGAGGGCCGATATGGGCGGGTTCTTGGGTCTTGTTCGGGTCCGGGTATCTTGCCAGACGGTGTTCGTTTCAAGGAAATCGGATAGTCCGAGGTAGCTGGAAAGAGCGACAATTACATTGTGGATGAAACCCAGAAACCAAAGCGTTATATTTCTTGATCTAACACCTTTTGCAGAAAGATGTACCCTGTATCACGTTTTAGGTTGATTTGACATCACGTGGGATAAGGCACGCCCCTGAAGTGCGCCTTATGCTGAGTTGTGATACACGTGGATAAAACGCGACCCTTGGGGCGTGCCTTATGCCACGTAGGGCTTTAGAGCGGTACAGGGGCCGCGCCTTAGTTTTAATGCTGACACATGTTAGAAAGGCTCGCCCCCTGTAGCGCGCCTTAAGTTTAAATACCCAACTACCCAGTCGTTCACACCTCATCCCCTCTCTATAAGTTCCTCCATTCTCAATCACTTTATCACACCAAATCCTCCCAACTTCTTTTAAATACTCTTATATTCTCTTGTAACTGTTTAAGGTATATTTTATTATAATTAGTATTTTGTTAGTAATTTATTTAAATATTTAAATATTTTATTTAATTATTTTTTTACAGATATAAAATGGAAGGCGATCTACTTCGCTTGGATGAAAATCATATATCTCGACATTTTGCTGATACGATAACATTTTAATGTTTTAATTTAATTTAAATTATTAGTAATAATTTATTTATTTATTTATTTATTTAATGCATGATTATTAGTTTAAAAATTATTTTTTGTAATTATTTAATTTTAGGAGAGAGACCGTATATTAAATCATTTTATTAGGAACCTTAAGTTAGTGATACATACCCGTATCTGGTCGTATTTAGCAGAGGTTGGATTCAGTCACATAGGTAGATATGAAAGTCACTGTAAGATAGAACCAGACCTTATTTCTATTTTAGTGGAGAGGTGGAGGCCGGAGACCCACACATTCCAACTTCCGTGCGGAGAGTGCACGATTACACTTGAGGATGTTTCTATGCACCTGGGGCTTCCGGTGGATAGAGATGTGATATCAGGGATGGCGCACGGTTCCTGGACTGCTTTGTGTCGAGATTATCTAGGACGTGTCCCGGAAAGTTTTAACGGTGGTCAGATACCGTTAAATTGGTTAGATGTCAATTTTTGGGAGTTGAGTGAGGACGTCTCTGATGATGAAGTTAAAATGTATGCATGGGCATGCATACTACAACTGATAGGAGGGTTGTTGATGCCAGACAAAACGCGCAACCAATTTCAATGTATGTGGTTGCGATATCTTGGCGACTTTCATCTGGCCGGATCACTCAGTTGGGGCTCGACAGTTTTGGTTTTCCTATATAGGGAGATGTGTCGAGCGACTAACTACAGGAAAAATGCTATCAGCGGATGTCTCCTTCTGCTGCAGTCTTGGACATGGTATCGATTGCACTTTTTAAGTCCCGTTGTGAAGAACTCATTTGTATTTCCGCTACTATTGAGGTAATTATAAAACTGATTTCGTATATTAATCATTTTATACAGTGTATAATAAAAAAAATTCCTTGAATAGGTGGTCTACTGACAGGAAAAATCATCGGGAGCTACCTGATGATTTTAAAAAAAATAGGGTGCTAATCAATCAGAAGGCTGACACACAAGTATGCATTTTAATGTTTAAAAATCGATTTTAGATTATAGTTATATTATTAGATTATTATTTTGATAAAAAATATATATATTTGTTTTAGCTTGAATGGGTGTCATATTCTAATGATGATGTGAGGATAGCGATCCCACCTGAGTTAAGGGGCCCATCAGATGTTTGGATGGTGATGGTCCCTTTGATCTGTTATGCGATCGTCGAGTGGCACTCCATTGATCGCGTGCTCTGGCAATTTAGTTGTTTTCAACCA